GTGTTCAGAAAGGTTCCACTACAGCTACTGGTAGTACTGGTGGGTTCTGGATTGGTCTTTGGGCCCCAGACGGCAAGCAAGTTGTAAGTCTGGGCCGCACTGGAAGCTGGCGCTCGTGGAAGTACGATGCGGAAACCGATATGTGGGCGCAGTCCCTGGGTATCTCCGGGCACGTGCGGTCAGCCAATGGGGTCCAATGGGAGCCTACTGGAGGATATCTCTTGTCGACAAGTGCGGATCAAACGACACGTCTGCATGCCCAGTGGCTGCGCGATGGACTGAAGTCATGGCATGAATTTTCACGACCTCAGATCCATGGCTACGATTTGAATTGCGTGGACACTCTGGGCCCGGCTCGGTTCGTGTCCGGTGCCGAAGAGAAGCTATTGCGAGTGTTCAATGAGCCTGGGCCCATCGCACAGCTCCTAGAGAAGCTTTCTGGCTTCAAACAGACGACCGAAGGAGCACTACCAGACACAGCACAGATCCCCGTCCTGGGATTGTCGAACCAGGCGCCGGCCGATGATGCGCCTACAGGTGAAGACGGAGTGGAGGGTGAGGAGGTTGGAAAAGCTCAGGCTAATCAGGCGCTTTTGGCGGAATCAAACCAACCGCCATTGGAAGATCAGCTGGCCCGCTACACATTATGGCCAGAGCATGAGAAGCTGTATGGTCACGGATACGAGATCTCAGCCGTGGCCGTCAGCCACGACCGCACACTAATTGCCACCGCTTGCAAGGCGAGTTCGATTGATCATGCCGTGGTGCGCCTGTACGACACGTCGGACTGGCACGAGATTCGTCCATCTCTTGCCGCACACACCTTGACCATTACTAGTCTCGCTTTCTCCAGTGACGACCAGTACCTTCTGAGTGTCGGGCGTGACCGGCAATGGGCTGTTTATCAACGTAGCGAACAAGACCCCTCTACATTCTCCCTTCTAACTTCGAACCCCAAGGGCCACTCCCGAATGATCCTCGATGCCGCATGGGCACCTGCGTCGGGCAAGCCCATCTTCGCAACCGCTGGCCGGGACAAGTCAGTGAAGCTGTGGCAAATGACCGAAGGCTCTTTCGAGTGCAAATCTACCATCCCGCTGACAACGCCTGTCACTGCACTGGCGTTCCTTCCGCAGATATACAACAACTCCTTCTTTGTGGCCACGGGCGAGGAAAGCGGGGCGGTGTCTGTCTACCAGGTTGCAGTCGACAGCCTGGAACCCAGCCATCTGTCAAGTATCGACAAGCTTGCATCACCTTCGAAGGCGATCACCCAGCTGTCCTGGCGGCCGGTTCCTGATGCCGACATACGGAATTTTGCACTGGCGGTAGCAAGCGAGGACACTTCAACTCGGATATATAGTTTTTCGGACATGGTCTCATAACCAAAAAGGCCATATATGTACAGAACCAAAAACTAAATGAGCAGGGAAAAAAGAAATTATAATACCATGGGTTGAAATCTTGCGTAATGTTGAAAGCCCAGACTCCTGAAATGTTGAATATATCCCTCCCGAGTCTAGAAATCCATCTAGAGACACAAATAGTTGAATGATGCTCCGAACCCCTGCTATGCATATCCAGTGATAGTGGCTGTTGAACCAATCATGTTGAACGATGCCAAAGAAAGAATATAAGAAGAGCAGATGAAACAAATGAAAAGGCGCACTTGCATGTCATCACGCAGCAGGTCGCTTTTCCAAGCCATACCCGCCCAAACCTTCCAATGTCGGGTAAGTCTTAGCCTGACTAGTAGACCCATTTCTCGGTCCCCTAGATTGCAAGTCCTCCTTGAGCCACTTCAGCACGAGCACACCAAGCTGACTATTCTCGGAAGACTCCTTAACCTCCTCGCGGAACTTCTCAATGGGACCCCACTGACGCACGCTTCCCAAATGCATATGGACAAGGTGAGTAGGCCACAGCGACAAGTTATCCAAGATATGGGTCGCATAAACGATAGTGCAGGGTCTGATCTCGGTCTCACGTTTAAGGAAGGCCAGGAAATTGGCGCGAGAGAGGAGGTCCAGATCGACGGTGATTTCATCCAGGAGGAGGACTTGCCAGGGCCGGAGGAGGCCCATAGCTAGCTGAACGCGACGACGTTCGCCGTCCGAGACGGCGTGCATGCGCCAGTTGAGATCGATGTCGAGGATGTCGACGAGTTCATCCCGACGGTCAGGGTATGCATTGCCGCCGACGGAGGCGAGGAGGGTAGGGACGTCGATGTCGGTGCGGACGATGTTGTTAAGAACCCATTCCATGCCGAGGTAGGTTACGCCTTCGAGGCCGTCCTTGAAGGGGTCTTTGCCTGCGACGGTGATGGTGTCTGTGGGAGCTAGACGTTTGCCTGCTAGGAGGCGGAGGAGGGTGGTTTTTCCTGCGCCATTGGCTGTTGACAGTGGTTTAGAAGTTAGTTTGGTTGATATGTGCAGTAGCAGTGTATTGGACATACCTCCGATAAGTAGGGTTCGACTGCCGGCGGGGGCTTGGAGATTGACATCGGTCAAGCCGGCAGAACCGTCGGGGAACTGGAAGGATAGGTTCTTGACCTCAATGGAGGGGGAAGGGGCGTTATTGTTTGTCATGGCGAGAGATGCAAAGATGGCAAAGAAGATGAGGGGTAAGTTAAGTTGATAGTAGAATAGCAGACTGCTCTTATCTAAATAGTAGTGTGGGTCACTCCGGTCTATGTCGTCGTAGATTTTTATGGACGGTCCAAACGAAAATCTATTATTGAAAGGAAGGGAATAAAGACTGTGCAAAGTGTGAAAAAGTTCAGGGAGAGAAGAAAAAGGAAGAAGAAGAGAAGGAATTGGAGGAGGAGCGATAAGACCCGATGAGGTAATAATGGATTGCGATGGCGGGGGAATTTGCGCCGGGAATTTTTCCAGAGCCGCACCGCCAGAATTACCTCCCTTCGAGTCCATCAGCTCGCGGTCTTCTTTGCCAGATGCATTTGTCGAGGCAAAGATGCTAATTCGGCCCTATTTCAATTTCCTCTCATGCAACCATTTCTCCGACGCTTTATGTCTCTCAAAGGCCCCTCCGGTATGAAGCCGCTCATCGCTGTCGTAGGTGCCACGGGCACGGGCAAATCAAAGGTGAGAGCGTTTACTCCGCCAGGATCTTGGGATTGTCTTTTTTTCTTTTGAGGCATTGCTTTACTGACGGTTGTAGTTAGCTTGCAGTGGACCTAGCCTCGCGATTTAACGGGGAGATCATCAATGGCGATGCCATGCAAATGTATCGCGGTCTCCCTATCATCACCAACCAGATCCCCGTCGAGGAACGAAACGGTATCCCGCACCACCTGATTAGCTGTGTTGAGCTTGATGAACAGCCATGGTTCGTGGGCAGATTTAGAAGCGAAAGTCTCCGACTCATTGACGACATTCACGCCAGAGGGAAAACTCCCGTTCTGGTCGGCGGTACCCATTACTATACACAAGCCGTCCTGTTTAAGGATCAGCTACTTGGCGAGGATGCCACTGCAGACTATGTGCCGGAGGAAGCAGAAAATCGATTGACGGAAGATAACGACCCGAAGTCTTCGACTAAATGGCCCATTCTCGACGCTCCTACTGAGGTGGTTCTCCAGAAGCTGAGAGAAGTCGATCCGGTCATGGCGGACCGATGGCATCCGAATGAAGCACGCAAAATCCGCCGCTCCCTAGAGATCTATTTCCAGACCGGCAGGCCCGCGTCGGAGATCTACGCGGAGCAACAGCGGACGAAGCAGGCAGCCCTGACTCGGGATGACTCCCTTACGGGTGCCGGCCACTTGCGATTCCCGACGATGATATTTTGGGTGCACTCGGAGAAGGAGACGCTCAACACTCGACTGGACAAGAGGGTGGATGCAATGCTGGAGCAAGGGCTGATGACAGAAGCCAGGCAGATGTCGGATTACCTCCAGGAGAAGAAAGCCCAGGGCGTCTCCGTTGACCAGAGCCGCGGCGTATGGGTGTCTATCGGATACAAAGAGCTAGCACCCTATCTCGAAGCACTATATGCAGGCTCGGTGGATGAGGCCGAGCTAGAGAACCTCAAGAAATCTGGCGTTGAGTCGATCAAGACTGCAACGCGGCAGTATGCCATGTCTCAAATCAAATGGATCAGAAACAAGTTATGGCAGGCCCTTGCAGACGCAAGCTCGACCAATCGTCTCTACCTCCTTGACAGCACCAATGTCGACGCATGGGAGCAGAACATTACCGAGCCGTCCGAACGTCTTGTCCGCGCTCTGCTGGAAGACGAACCCACTCCCGACCCGAAATCACTGTCAGAGCTCGCTAGGACAGTCTTGGGCGCCAAGGAGTCGCAGCCGCAGAAAGAGTCAGGATCCGTCACAAAGTGCAGGACTTGTGACATCTGCCACAAGACCATGATGGGTGATGAGCAATGGCAAATACACATCAACGGCTCAGTCCATAGGAGAGCTCTTAAGAGCGCCGCCAAACGGGCCGCGCGTGATGAATATCTACGAAAGCGACAAAAGCTGCTACACGAGGGCCAGGAAAATGGCCCTGAATCTCCTGCGGAGCCAGATTTACAAGCTCCCCCGTCCCCTCAAGACAGATAGACAAACAATAAATGTCTCAGAGAATTCCAACAGCACCGAGGTGCCTTGCATTTAGATGCAAATGTATCTGTGACACCCTTGGGTAACTATGTAGAGAGACACTTCAGCGCAGTGCATGCTAGCAGACCCATCTGCATCTTTGCTTTCACACCGTAAATGTTTGCAGATAGCGGGTGCAATCAAGACATCATTTGAAGAACCCATAACATCCGGTCGAGTTTGGTATGGGGCTTGGCGTTTGGGGCAGCAAATGGATGTCAAATATAAAGCATTATATGCAGTGATTGCACGGCACATACTAGCCACTGTACTGATCAGGTCTGTCCAGTGACCGAGTCGGTCCAGACGATGTCGCAAGCGAAATCCCCATGCATCAAGTCAAGAGGCATGCATACTCATATCTGCAGTCTTGATAGCAGCCCTATCACTTTTGCGCGACTGGGTGAGAACCGACATTCCCTTTCACTGGAGTAGTCCACAGACGCAGGACCATTGGAAATGAGAAAATCGTCAATGATTCAGCGTTTGCATGGCTCAAGATTTGGATCTCCAGGCTGAAAATGCTGGTGAGATGATATCGCCAGTTCCACTCTCTTCCACCTTAAAGACTTCGATTAGTGACGATTTCTCACGTTTGCGTATTCTCCATGTGCCTTCCTCTTGGATAGTAGTTTTAAGCCCTGCAACAGTCAGTTTAGATCCTGTTTGTTTCTTTCTTTCTTCTTGAATTATAATTCGAGCAGGCGAAATCGAAGGTATACGCACATTCAAGGAAGGTGGCAGCAAAGTTAATGCAAATATTTCCGTCCCAAGTCCCCCGGCCAAGCTTCTTGACTTTTCCGGGTATGGCAGCAGTCTCGAGCTCCTCAAGGCGATGGACGATACCTTGTTGGTCCCGAAAGCCGACAATGATTTTGGGTACACCGAGCAAGAATGACTGGGCCCAGAATTTCAGAAGCTTTCTTTCGTATTTGACCATGTCCCGGTCATTCCTTATTTCGGCGGAAGTTTTCAGTTCTACCCAATGGATAGGATCTTCTTTTCGCTCAGGTTTGCAATCCCAGACTGTGAATAGAATGCGTTAGAACATACATATGCGTTGCTGTAAGTGGTGGCGATGGAGCGGTAGGTGGCCTTATGACATACTTGCATCTACCTCCCCACCAATAACTAGGCGTGCGCGGCCGATGGCAGTGCGCACCACTGAACAATACTGGGCATTGTTGTTTACAATGAGCTCCTCTCGGTTTTCAATCTCTCTGCGAGGAGTCGGGTCCCATGGCTGATCGAGCACTGACAGAGTCTCGAATTTATAGCCTGACTTGGTCAATAACATTTCTTGCAATAATGAGAAGTGAGGTCTCACCCCAGTAGGCCATCAGATCCTGAGACGCCATTCCCGGAGGCATTCGTTGGTTCTTCTGAACTCGTTTCTGCTCATTTTTGTAGCTGTTGTTCTCTTCGATAAATCTAAACGGTTATTAGAGTCGAGAGCCAGTAGATATAGCAAGCTAGCATGAACCAACATTGTGCCCTGGAAGTACATTAGCAATGAGCCTCCCGATCCGATGGCCAATAACATACCTGGAAGCAGGTTGCGTTCATTTCAAATCTGTACGCAAATCAATGGCTGAAGCAGGAAAGTGACAAATTGAGAGTACACACCCATTCAAGTTATCAAAAGGAGCTGCAAGGATCTAGACAAATTGAACATGAGCATATCTCTCGGTCCCATATGAATGGTACACATTATAGGAGGTGTCTACCTTGGTCATCATGCCTCTCCATGTGATGATATCAGCTTCACATTTCTTCTGGGTTTCTTGTTCCAGAGCCATGACTGTTTCGAGCAGAGCGTCTAGATGCTCATCAGCTGAATCATCTAGCTTTTGAAATGACTCGAAACCGCGGTTCAGGTCCGCGGGGAGGCATGGCGGATAGTAGTATTTCATCGATGAGTCTCCGAGATGGAACTTATGCTCATCATCGTAAGAGAAACATGCAATCTCCTGGACAACGGTTAAGGGCCGACTTTGGGCATTCGGAAATGGATATACTAAGCTTACCTTCGGACGTCGAATGGCAGCGCTAGCTTCGTAGAAGCGACCAATGGGCTGAATATCAAAGGCCTTGCGGTCCATGTTTTGAGATACTGCCCTGGTATGGTTGGTGACTGGATGTAAATGCGCCGAAAGGGTTACTCTATGTACTCTTTCTGCCGTGCGCGCGCGCCTTTCACGAGATGATACCAGGGATTAAGACCACATGAACTCAAGTGTCAAAGGTGTACTGATGTTGCTTGGGGAGAAAACAATTTGAATTTCATCCACCTCAAATATAGCTAGGTAAGAACCCTGCAGCTCGTAAATGCGGAGTGGAAGAAATAAGTTAGATCGTCGTTGCAGTAGTTCAGTCCAGCTGCTCCCGTCATTCTGGAAGAACCGAAGCGCGTCCCCACCAAAAGTCGCCCGGCCATCAACTTTCCCGGCCGCAAGTTGGCTTGACATCGTCAACCATCCCCCGTTCAGGCCTGTCGCACTTGTTGTGGCCGCTTTATCTTCGCTTTTACTCTCTTATACTATTTTGTGTGGCTGTATTGCTATAGCAAGCCATCGTTTTCTCACTGCATCTCCGACCTCTTGACAGTCGCCCCTGGTGATTCATCCGTTCAAGATGACCTCACGTATCGACAAGACAATTGCTCGACAACGAGAGAAGTGAGCCAACCCCACCTTGCTTCCCCCCACAGAGTAGTTACTTGATGTCTACATGTTTTGCCAAAAAGAATATGATAACTGACGCATCTTGTCTTTCTGAAGGATCGCTTCTGGTGCTTACTATGAAGCTCACCAGCAACTGCGGGTCATCGCTGCCCGGTATATCAAGCAAGCGAACTACGATGCGGCGGCAGAGATTCTTGCTGGCGGCGCCGCCGCACTACTGAAAGCTGGATCTCAACAGGGTGCTTCTGCCAGTGGCGGCGATTTGGCGATCATGTTGGTGGTTGAGGTCTACACAAAGGCGGGGTGGGAGATCACTGGAGGAAATGACGATGCGGAGGGGCGGGCTCGGAAGAGTGAGTGCTTGTCTATGCCCTGTTACACATCGCCGCGCCAGGTTGCCGATGTATTACGATGCCTTTTTGAAAGTATGCGGACTGACCGAGGGCTCCCTCTATCTACAGAGCGCTTAATCGAACTTCTGCACGAATTCCCGCCCGAAGAGCCTACCCGGAAAAGGTTTATCCAGGAGATGATCGGTTGGAGTGGCAGGTTTGGACCCTTAGAACGCGGCGACCCTGAGTTGCATCATGCCGCTGGATCGGTATATGCGGAAGGTATGCAGACCCATATTAATTCTGATTTCGAGGGCGACTTCATAACAGCTATCTCTAGACCACGAACCCTATGACGCGGAAAAGCATCTCATCTTTGGTACCTCGGAATCAGCTGAGACTCTGGCCAAACTGGAATTCGAGTGGTACACCCATGACGAACCGCACACTGCCGCACTTTATGCCTCTCGCGCGGTATTCCCATATCTCTTGATTGGAAACCTTCGCAGCGCCAACAAAGCCTTCCTCATTTTCACGTCAAAGCTTTCCTCCACAAACCCCTCACTCGGCGTGCAAGATGTCAGCAGCGCTAGCTCTGACGTACGCGTCTTCCCCGCGCTGCCATTGTTGAATTTCATCAGCATGCTGCTCCTTACGATTCAGCGCGGTAGTTCGGATTTGTATAAGCAGTTGACGGCGCATTATGCATCTCATATCAGAGACGTCGGAATCTGGGATGACGCCCTGTCTCAGATAGGCGAGCAATATTTCGCAATCAAGATCCCAAGGCAGAGCAACCCGCTGCTGGATATGATGGGAAGCATGTTCTTTGGTGGCGGTCAGGATGGTACTGGTGCCCGGATGGCACCTCAGGGCAGAGGAGGGTCGAAGAGGGTGGAAGCGCCTCCGACGAGTATGGAGCTCGATTAGAGGGATGTCAAGGGAATTTGATGTTGTAGTAGGCTGCAGTCTGAACGCATCATTCATCACGCATAGTAATTAGTATAGACCATCATATCGCAAACGAATCGGTTAGGCCCTCGAGTCGACTTCAGCCTCGTACATCCAGTTATCTTCCTCCAAGGCGGCAACCTTATTGCGAAGGCTCTGGTGTATACGGTTGAGTATTTCTATAGACATCAGCCGAATCGCATCGCAACATAGATCCTGGGAATGTAATCGAGGCTCACCGGCAGGCTCGATACTCATTTGTCGGTTTCGATTCCGATACATCATCTCAACAAGGTTTGCCTCCATCTCTAACTCATTATTAGCTCACCTAACTTGGGCCATCGGGGGCGCGGAGCTGAATCTCCACCTACTCTCTTTCTCCTGCGCACTCAAATTGCCCCCTGCTGCGCCGGAACCATCGCCGGCACCCACACCTTCTATACCTTCCATTTCCTCACCATCTTCACCAATCAAGGGGGGTAGTACAGGGACATCAAGCTTGTAGCTACCGTTCTTGTCCTTAACCACGATTTCCCCGTTGTCAACGGATCCGGCACTTAAAGATGTAGGTGCTTCAGACGAATTTGATTGCAGCAGCTGCGATGATAGGCCAGAGGTTCCGTTGCTGGTTTTGCCCTGTGTAGAAGAACCTGCGGGGCCAGTCGAGCCAGCGCGTTTGCTAATGTGGTGGTGGAAGAGATTGCGGCGGACGGAGGTTGTTCCCATTGCGGGGGCGTAGGGGTAGAGAAATACTGAATGTGTACACAAGTAGGTATAATGTGTAAGGATGCCTTTAAGCTGGTTAGCAATGTGTTTTGAGCCCAGGCAAAACTGGTGTCGGTAGTCGTGAGGTCGATGTTGAAGCAACCGAAAGGACTGAGTAAATGAATTTAGAAATGGATGGTGAAACTAAAGATATCCGACGTAGAAGTTTGAATGAGCATAATAACTGCTGGCCTGGAGCGATATCTAATGGTTATGGGGCGTGAATACAGAGGACCCAAGATACGTATTGAGGTTGAAGTTGCAAGGCGGGATGCCGAAAGGCATCACCAGCAAAACCCATCAGTCAACTGGCTGCCTCTGAGAACAAATGTGTGCTTGAGCAAATTAAAGCCGGTATTTATATACCTGGCTCGGTAATAGTATAAACGGGTATTATTTGCATTATCCCATCGTAACGAATGAAATTCTTTGGGATCGTGCAGGAGTCCAGTCGCTTTTGGCTTCAGCACCGGCGAACAATAACTACCCTTTTGGGCCAAATCTATGCCGACGCGTCTCCGCCTCGACTTTCGCGTCTCCCGCTTCTTCAATTCTAACCCATCATCAGCGCTTTTGCTCCTGCTCTCGGTCTAGCACACAACGAAACCATTCAGTCTGAGGTTGCATATAATTTACATCAAGTTATTATTCGCTATGGTTCAAGCCGAATCCTCAGCCAGTGCCTCTCGCAATGGCCTCAAGGCGCATACGGCCGGCGCCCCTCCTGACTATGAATTGCCCTGGTACGTACACCAGGTTCCAGCACTAAGGCCAGCTCAGAATGCCGAGTCTAACTGCCAATCTCTGGAAATAGGGTAGAGAAATATCGCCCGGTATTCCTCGATGACATTGTTGGAAACACAGAAACAGTCGAGCGCTTGAAGATTATCGCTAAGGATGGAAACATGCCGCACGTTATCATCTCGGGCATGCCCGGTATTGGAAAGACAACTTCGATCTTGTGCCTGGCGAGACAGCTATTGGGAGACGCATATAAGGAGGCAGTTCTGGAGCTCAATGCTAGTGATGAAAGAGGTACATCTACCGCACTATGAGAGGGAGACGAGAGGCACCTTTAATCTAATCTGCTCTACAGGTATCGACGTGGTACGAAACCGGATTAAGGGCTTTGCCCAGAAGAAAGTCACCTTGCCCCCCGGTCGCCATAAGCTTGTCATCCTTGATGAAGCCGATAGGTACGTACTGGACAATGAGCTATATCGTCTGTCTTGGATGCTCACGCATGATGCAGTATGACATCAGGTGCCCAGCAAGCATTGCGGCGTACAATGGAAATTTATTCGTCGACGACACGATTCGCATTTGCCTGCAACCAGTCAAACAAAATCATCGAGCCGATTCAGTCGCGATGCGCTATCCTACGTTATGCTCGGTTGACCGATGCGCAAATTGTCAAGCGTCTGAAGCAAGTATGCGACGCCGAGAAAGTGGAACATAACGAAGAGGGCATCGCCGCCCTGGTATTCAGTGCTGAGGGAGACATGCGTCAGGCTATCAACAACCTGCAGAGTACATGGTCAGGTTTCGGTTTCGTCAGTGGGGACAACGTTTTCAGGGTAGTCGACAGCCCGCATCCGATCAAGGTCCAGGCAATGATCAAGGCTTGCTGGGAAGGCAAGATTGATGCGGCGTTGGAGACACTCAATGAATTATGGTATGTATCCCATTGCCGTGTAACTATACGTCTGTGGATTTATTTTGACTGTATCTCTAGGGATTTGGGGTATTCCTCCCATGATATCATCAGCACCATGTTCCGTGTCACCAAGACAATTCCCACTCTGTCAGAACATTCCAAGCTGGAATTCATCCGGGAAATTGGTTTCACGCATATGCGCATCCTAGACGGCGTGCAGTCACTGCTCCAACTCAGCGGCTGCGTTGCGAAGCTTTGCAAGATCAACATGAAGCCGCAGCTCTTTGAGCCACCGAAGAACTGAGATGAAAATGAAAGTGTAAATTAGATGCAGGCATAACTTGGAGTTTGGGGCGTTTACAAAGCAAGGCTATATCAAGCCCTGGGGTATTTAGCACATGTCGAACACTTTTGATTTTCAAGTTATCATTGATATAGACTCCCGGTATCATTCATTAGGCTCAGTTCATACATCATAGAACATGCATGTTGGAGACTATGCAACTCGTGGCCAGCTCAACAGTCCGGTTTCACTTCCTTGCAGGCATGGGAGCAGAAGGCATCCTAGCGCCCTCCGGCGGCTTGTTCTTGCTCTTGAATTCATCGCACATCTGTTCAAAAGTGACCCATTCCACGCCCTCGTGCTTGTTGATATATTCAATGATTCTAGATCCGATCAGCAAGGCACCCCACATGAGAGTTCGAACCAGACAATCACCCAACTTACCTCTCATGCATAAGAAGAACATGCGGACGACCCGACACATCAGGATGAATAGTCATGGGGAAGACAAACTCGTCGTACTCGCGATAGAAGTAGTCAAAATGATCCTGCCAGAACATCAGTTCCATCAAAAGGCCCCAAGCACCAACGAATTAAACCCCCTAAAGACAGAAGAAAAGCAAACTCACCTTCCAAAGCTCCTCAACATCCTTAGGATTCACCCAACCATGACTATTCGGCGCGGACTTGATAAACATCATAGGCGGCAAATCATCAATATACCAATTGCCCGGGATCTCCACGAGCCCCGTATCCTGGCCCCTGACCAGCGGCTTCATCCAGGTCTCCGCCTTCTGGGAATAATCAATCTTAGTCCATGTATCGCCCGTTCTCAACCAATACATCTGACAATCATGATGAGACATGGAATGATCATATTCGATTCCATATGAGAGCAACAAATCGGCCATCTCTTTACTGGTTTCCCACCATGGCGCAACGATGCCCCGCGGCGGCTTGCCAGTAAAATCGTACAGCAGGTGATAGGTCTTATCGAGGATGTCGCGTTGCTGCTCGAGGGTCATGTCGGAGGGGTTTTCGTGTGTGTAGCCGTGCAGGCCGATTTCGTGGCCTGCGTCTCGTACCATGGCGCATTCTTCGGGGAAGGTTTCGAGTGAGTGGCCGGGGATGAAGAAAGTGGCTTTGATGTTGTATTTGGAGAAGAGTTTGAGGAGACGTGTGGTGCCGATGTGGCCAGCCCAGAGTCCTGCAGGGTGTGAGTGAGTGTACTACCACTACTATCCGTTGAGTGTAGTATAGAATGTTGTATGTTGGTTTATACTTACCTCGACTGATATCGTTGGAACTGTCCTCGCCGCCGTAGGATCCCAGCCAGCCGGCGACGGCATCAATATCGACGCCGTAACTGACGAGAACGCGCTTCTTGCCCATGTTGGTGTTCTTATTCTGTGTTGGAGAGATTGTGTTTAATCTGGGATGATGTGGCAGACTTATGTGTCGGATATGGAGATGGGTTGAGTGAGAAGCAGGCAGTTAAGTCTACGAGTTTAACCGAGGGGTAATACACTTACTTCCCCCCAACCTTGGTCATTGGCTGTTCTTTTATATAGTCGATCAGTGAGGGGACCGATGAGGGGGGGGGGGGGGGGAACCGACTTATTTGGTCATATGCGATAAATGATCGGAGGGGGAGAAGATAAGGCGCGATAACCGGGCATGGAGAGAATCGGTACTAGTACAGCAATAGAGAGTCTTATCAGTATACAGATGCTACTGTAGCCATTAGTACTCAGTATTATTTAGTCGATCATAACTGTCATGATTCGATCTAGTCTGATTAGTCTGTTAGCTATCTAGATACTAACTAGTTAGTACCTGCTCAGGATTGAAACACAGTATATTGGCTTACTCCAACAGTGACGCCTCCACTTCTGGCAGTGACTCCAACGGCCCGGTTGGAGTAAGTCTCGCGGGAAAGTGGGGGTTGCGCTCGGAGCGATGGAGATATCTAGATGATTATCTAGAGTAACTTGGAGACACACCGAGATTGGACTATTGGACTATGCTATAGATGTCTCAAACTAGCTGCGCCAAATCTTCTCAATGGCAGTCGCTGCTCCTAGGACCTTCTCCTCTTCTAGTTTCTTGCCGATGATTTGAACATTAATCGGATGACCATCCATAGCCTCCGCATTGTAAAGCCCCCAGTTCCATGCGTCCAGCTCGTTCCTCGGTTGATATCCTGCTGGCAGTTCGTCCACCTCAGCCCGCACCTGATCCACTGGGAATGTAACAGCGGAGTAATCAAGGAAATTCCAGATTTTGGTATATCCAACCCACCGCAGCGTTCGATGGGGAATAGCAGGATGGGGCGTTGTCGGGGCCAAGAGTACATCAATGGGCTTCCCAGAGGGAGAGCGTGTTGCGTTCCATTTGTCCAAGTATTTCTTCTGCAGCGCAATCTTCTTCTTATTGAGCTGCCAGTACTCGTAGACGGAAATGGCTTTTCCGCGATTCACCAATGCTTCCACGTGGGGAATATAAGGCTCCCCGGCCGCTTCCACATCACGGCGGATATCTTCACCCCCATCCACTGTGTAGAAAGCATCCATGAGTTGGATATATTCTAGATGATCGGAAGCATCCCAGAGGACTAGCTCGTGGCCGTGCGCTTCAAGTTCTGCGGCAAGATCCCGGAGCGCTCTCTCGATGGGAGGATGAACCTTCACCACTCCATCGTCCAAAATGAGTCCGATCACCATAGGCCGGTTTTGGACTTCTTCGTGTGCGCTGTCGTTCCAGGGTAACGGGGTACATTTGGGGTCAAACTGCCACGGATGTGCATTAGCAATGAGTCGGCTTACATAGCAGAGAGATGATAGATCTCGTGCCATGGGGCCAACTGAAGAGGGAACATGCTCCTGCCCCTCGGTAGATACCGGTACGCCATGATACGGAAGCCTACTGCTCTTTAGCGATTGTCAGTCAGGTCAGTTCACTTTACCTTAGCAGATCTGGGAAGGTGGTTGGGCTTACAGTAGGCTTCAGGCTATACAGACCCATGTGACTCTGAGGAATCCTCACACTGCCACCGATGTCTGTTCCGTATCCCAGGATAGAGCCGTGCAATGCCAATAAAACAGCTTCCCCTCCGGTAGAACCGCCTGGTGTAAATTCAGGATTCCGTGGGTTGACGGTCAGTCCCCAAAGCGGATTGTCTGTTTCAGCCCACTAAGTTACAGGTCAGAACCGTGGCCTTCATTGACGAGGTAGGTCGATACAAACCATTATACTCTGTGGTAGATTGGTTTTCGCCAGCACAATAGCGCCCATATCCTTCAGCATTTGCACTAGGACTGCATCTTCTGTAGCGGGAGCAAAAGAACGTCCCACATAGCCAAGTGTGGTGTCAACACCCTTGACATTGAACTGATCTTTTACTGTAACCGGAATGCCGTGGAGTGGTCCCTTGATTTGACCGGTTTGTTTAAAGGCATGGTCAAGTTGCCGGGCTTGTTCTAAGGCATCTTCGAACACAATTTCCGTGAGGCAGTTGGTCTATCGGATCATGTTAATTAGTGGTGATCTATAGAAACTCGTCTATTACAGATCCACTTACCAACTGATGGGCTACCACAGCTCTGGTGTCAAGAGATTCAGTCAGAGTGGGAATGAAGCTAGAAAGGGCAGTGCAGGTTACCTTCTGATATAAGCTAATGTCGTCTGCTCAGCCGTGTATTTGCCCGATTTCAGGCATTCGAAAAGCTCAGGCACGCTGTCAATGTCCGTGATCTCCTGGATTGCAGGATCTTCATGGATACACGTGCGCTCCTGGACAGAGAGCAGCTTGGGGAGACGCCGGTCGATATCATTGACTTGATACGGCTTTAGGAGCTGATTCCGTAGAGAACGCTTCCGGGAAACAATTTGCTCCCACGACTGGAGGCTTCCCATTATGGTAAAGATATTTCAAGATGGTTAACTAGTTAGTATCGAAGAACAAATGGGATCAAAAGGTCTTATGCTCGTAGTCGTCACTTCTTTCCCTTAATAGTAGTATATATGATAGTACGTATTAAAGTCAGAGTTATGAGTTGGTGATCCGCACAAGAACTTATCTGCTAGTACGGGCCCCAAATATAAACCGGAGTCATCAACTAGTTAGTGGGATTCTGGCAGCTCTCGGAGCAGATACGGGAAAGTCAAGCAGTACAAATTGTTGAAGGTGGGGTTAACTACGGGAATCAAGGGTCATTTGATAGCGAAGCCAGGCATTCGTGCGGAGTAATCGGTATATTATCATCTGGTGTTACTATTACTTACGCT